TTTTTTTGTGCGCATGCTCGGCAAGTTACTAGATGCATGCATCTGATTGGATTACGACCTGATGACGACTCACTTTAAACTTGCTGAGCATGCGCAGTTGATCATTTTTCGCCCGGATGCCTGAAAAAAGTGGGTACATGAGAACGTAATCTTCCGCAGTGTTTACAACGGTCAGTTACGTCTCTGTATGTCTTATCTACTCTGTGACTTTGGGGAAGGTTTGACACAATTCTGGTGGTCAGAAAATAGGGTTTTTCAGCAGAAATTTACAATTCAGTAGTGCTAAATGGGCAAAGGCATATTTAATTAACTATATCGGATAAATTGCAGGAAAGTATGGGTAATATCTAAATTCTTCGCAGTTTGTCATGGATTAAATGATAAAGGTCTGCATGATTTTGAAAAATGAATGATTATTAACAAATTCCGCCCCCCCCCCCGGTTGCTACGGCCCTGTGTTTTGGAAAGTGCCTTATGTCTCTGCTGGGGGTCGAATATCTTGGTTACCATGGCAACAACTAATTTATGTTTTTGTAAAGTGGAAACACCACATGAATTAATTTTGGGCGCCATATTTTGATACACGTGTTGTTTGTGAACTGTGTCTTAGAATACTCTCGTTTTTATGATCAGAATTTCTGTAAGAACCGAAGTATTATAAAGATTCAGTAAAGAAAGACTCGAGGGAACAGTTGGGTGATATTTTTAATCGAAATTTGACCGCAGGTGTGACTGTACGAGGAAAAGATCAAAAGCTGAAACCATGTCTAGCAAATGTGATGATGTTTGTAACAAGGTATTTTCAAAGGAAGGAAATTTAGTGAGACCTAAAAGAACACACACTGGAGACAAACCTTATGAATGTGGTGTTTGCAACAAAAGATTTTCTGACCCAAGCACTAGGACTAGACATGAAAGAACACACACTGGAGACAGACCTTATGAATGTGATGTTTGCAACAAAAGATTTTTGCAGTCAAGCAACTTAGCTAGACATAAAAGAACACACACTGGGAACAAACCTTATGAATGTGATGTTTGCAACAATAGATTTTCTGACCCAAGCACCCTAACTAGACATGAAAGAACACACACTGGAGACAAACCTTATGAATGTGATGTTTGCAACAAAAGATTTTTGCAGTCAAGCAACTTAGCTAGACATAAAAGAACACACACTGGGAACAAACCTTATGAATGTGATGTTTGCAACAATAGATTTTCTGACCCAAGCACCCTAACTAGACATGAAAGAACACACACTGGAGACAAACCTTATGAATGTGATGTTTGCAACAAAAGATTTTTGCAGTCAAGCAACTTAGCTAGACATAAAAGAACACACACTGGGAACAAACCTTATGAATGTGATGTTTGCAACAATAGATTTTCTGACCCAAGCACCCTAACTAGACATGAAAGAACACACACTGGAGACAAACCTTATGAATGTGATGTTTGCAACAAAAGATTTTTGCAGTCAAGCAACTTAGCTAGACATAAAAGAACACACACTGGGAACAAACCTTATGAATGTGATGTTTGCAACAATAGATTTTCTGACCCAAGCACCCTAACTAGACATGAAAGAACACACACTGGAGACAAACCTTATGAATGTGATGTTTGCAACAAAAGATTTTTGCAGTCAAGCAACTTAGCTAGACATAAAAGAACACACACTGGGAACAAACCTTATGAATGTGATGTTTGCAACAATAGATTTTCTGACCCAAGCACCCTAACTAGACATGAAAGAACACACACTGGAGACAAACCTTATGAATGTGATGTTTGCAACAAAAGATTTTTGCAGTCAAGCAACTTAGCTAGACATAAAAGAACACACACTGGGAACAAACCTTATGAATGTGATGTTTGCAACAATAGATTTTCTGACCGAAGCACCCTAACTAGACATGAGAGAACACACACTGGAGAGAAACCTTATGAATGTGATGTTTGCAACAAACAATTTACACAGTTAGGCACCTTAGTTAGACATAAGAGAACACACACAGGAGAGAAACCTTATGAATGTGATGTTTGCAACAATAGATTTTCTGACCCAAGCACCCTAACTAAACATAAGAGAACACACAATGGAGAGAATCCTTATGAATGTGATGTTTGCAACAAAAGATTTTCTGACCCAAGCACCCTAACTAAACATAAGAGAACACACACTGGAGAGAAACCTTATGAATGTGATGTTTGCAACAAAAGATTTTCTGACCCAAGCAACCTAACTAAACATAAGAGAACACACACTGGAGAGAAACCTTATGAATGTGACGTTTGCAACAAACAATTTTCACGGTCGAGCACATTAGTCAGACATAAAAGAATGCATACTAGAGAGAAACCTGATGAATGTGATGTTTGCAACAAAAGATTTCCTGACCCAAGCACCCTAACTAAACATAAGAGAACACACACTGGAGAGAAACCTTATGAATGTGATGTTTGCAACAAACAATTTTCACGGTCGAGCACCTTAGTCAGACATAAAAGAACGCATACTAGAGAGAAACCTTATGAATGTGATTTTTGCAACAAACAATTTTTGCAATCAGGCTACTTAGTGGTTCATAAGAGAACACACACTGGAGACAAACCTTATGAATGTGTCGTTTGTAAGAAGAGATTTTCATGTTCGAGCCAATTAACTAGACATAAAAGGAGACACACTAGAGACAAACCTTACCAATGTGACATTTGCAACAAGAGATTTTCAGAATCACGCAATTTAACACAACATAAAACATCAGCTCACAAGAGAAACCAGAGTTTTGGGTTTGGTATCTGCAAGAAAACATTCACAAAACGACAAAGTTTCAAACGTCACTGGAGATCACACTTGAGAGATGGCTTATTATTGTGCCACACCTGTGGCAAAGAAATTATTCAAGGTCAAGGACATGCTGTTGAGATACTGAGTGATGCTCATTTTCTCTGTGAAAAATGCAACAAACTGTTCCCGGATATTGAAAGTTTATATCAGCACAAGGCCAAAGACCATGGTACGTCCTACCAATGTGATGTCTGTAAGGAATTAGAAGCAAGAGAAGCAACTGGTATTGGTTATATCTGTTGTGTCTGCGATGCCGAGTTTGAAATTGCCCCTGAACTTGAAGATCATATGAGTATGCATGACAATGTGCTGCCCCACTAGACTAGCAACATAAATTGAAAATATTTAACTTGTTTTCGGATTGTCTCTTTAAACTTGTTATGCATGAGTCAAAACATGATTCCCCTTATTAAATTTTCGTAGCGCTTTGCATTGTGGTTATAGTGGTATCACTGATATTCAAGATGGCTTATTTTTGTCCCCACCCGTGCAAGAACTTTTAAAAAAGCTAGGGTCAGGTGCACGATATCCAACAGCAAAATGTTCGCGAAAACATTCAATATTCTCATTCGAGGCCGCTATCTTTATTGGTGATACCACTATAAGCACAATGCAAAGCGCTACGAAAACGTAATAAGGAGAATCATCCATTCCATGAGTGATCATCCCCCCTCTGGCGTTAGCATTTTTTTGGGAAGAAAGGGAAAATTCCCGGCTGTGTGTGGCGCAGCAGCAGGAGGATAATGTACGCCCCCCCCCCCGCAAAACCATTAGGTGGCAAATGTCCTTGCCCAGGGATTTTTTTTTCATCAATATCGTTTAAAAATTGCGTAATGGATAGCAAAAATTGCATAATGCACGGGGGTATAAACCGTCCAATTTAATCTGGATAATCTTAATCCGGATAATCTTAATCCGTTCAACTTAATCTTAAACTTTAGTTCAGTGAACAGTGTATTGTCAAATATTATTTTGTATTATTAACAATAAATTTTTCTTCTCATTAACGGTAGTTTTGTTGACGTCACAACAGGAATTGACCATATAAAGTATTCGTTGCTAGCAGAAATTTTGGTTGTAAATCATCAAATTTGAACGCTCAAATTTCAGATCTTAGCGAAGGCTGTAAGATAAGATAAGATAAGAAACTTTATTTATGTGTCAAAACATTCTAGCGTTCAGCACGCTAATTGGGGACACAGTTTAAGCCTACTGTTATACAAAAAGTATACTTCTTATACGACTAGCTATGAGTAGATAAATTTGCAATACTAATCCCTAATTACTACATAGATAGCAGTTTCTACAACCACTATCCTCTAAAAAACTAAAGTCAACTTTCCTAATTTCACTCTCGAAAACTTTCAAAGTACTGATGTTCCTAACTTCTTTACTTAACTTTGACCATAAAAAAGGTCGTAACTCCTAAGTATCTAATTGAGTGTTTTCCATATTTTACCGTATTAAAACGCGGTATTCTGAAATCAGAATTTCTTAGATTATATATGTCCTAGTCTTATCATTAGTACAAAATAAATTCTGAATATATGAGGGAGCAAGATTATTTTTAATTTTAAACATTAGTATGGCAATATCTTGTACCCGTCTGTGATATAGCGCGAAAAGATTTTCTTTTGCGAGTAGTTCTTCATACGTAAGTGTTTTGGAGTTGAAAACTGCATGCAAGGCCCGCTCTTGTACTCTTTCCAACTTGGCGTCTATCCGATGCCCGACAAAAATGCCATAGTAAATGGCAATTAGAAATGCCATACTAAGGGACCGGTCATTATTTATGGCGGGGGGTGGCACCGAAGAGAAAAGGGTTGGGTAAACTAAATTTTGAGTAACTAAAAGGTTGGGTAAATGAAAAACAAAACAACTCAAGGGTTGGGTAATAAAAAGTTATTGTCATTTCCAGAGCATGACTCACTTAAATATTGCAGACTGAAAGCAATGTCAACAGTCGTATGTCAATACAATATGTGAATCAATCAGAGTCACTATCTTGATCATTTAAAGTTTGTTCGTTCACTGCAACCAGGTATAGCAATCATGTTTCGCTCGCTACTCTGGTTTTCGATTTGTTGGGAGACAAATGGTGTCTCCAAAGAAAGTACATGTACATACAACATGAAAGTTTAGTTATCAAACTTGTGTCACAGAAGTGGTAAAGGACATGTGTGACAACTGAATGGTATTCTTTTGTAAAGGTTTTGGCCAGGGGTGGGTAGTTATTTTTTAATTGATATTTGAGGTTGGGTAATGAAATTTTTTGCTTTTTAATGGTTGGGTCAGCAAAATTTTTACCAGGAAAAACATTTCTCTTCGGTGCCACCCCCCACCATAAATAATGACCCGTCCCTAAATGGCAATTAGAAAGCCTTTGTCCGAAAGACTTCACTGCAAGCAAGGATGATTACTGTAACACAGCTCCATTTATTTCTATCATATTTTATTGAGTATTCACTATATGACTAAACAATAAATATGATACAATACACATGTTACGAAAACCAAACTTACAAAAAGACAACACAATCAGCAGATGAACTCAAACGGAAGAGCACAAACGGGACAAGAAGTGCCATGAAACGTGTTGCCGGTAATTACTTTACAGGATTCATAGCGGTCTTTGAAATCCTTGAAAGTCTTTCAATTTGAATGCAGGTCTTTAAGTACTATTTAAAAAACGACGAGCAGGAGTGTTTTATTAGGTTTAAAGCCACGAGCGCGCAGCGCGAGTGGCTTTAGACTTAATAAAACACGACCTGCGAGTTTTTTAAGTGGCTTCAAAAACGTTTGCATAATAAGTTAAATCTTTATATAAAAATCTTTATATAAAAATATTTATATAAAAATCTTTATATAGTTTGCATAACAATGGTCTTTCGTTAAAGTGTTCTTTAGCTGGTATAAAGACGTATGCACGTGACTAATTTCTTACTCAAGATTGGATAATTGCTTCATGAATTATTAATGATTTTTTGAAGGTCTTTGAAAAGTCTTTGAATTGTGTGAAAACCGAAGAAAGTCTTTAAAAGTCTTTAAATTCTTCAGTGAGCAATTGATTATACGATTTTCCCAGCTACTAAAATAGATTGATTGAAGCAAGATTTTCGTAGCCAGCGTGGCCGGATCTAAAAACGAAAAGGCGCATTTTAGGATGTGATTTGACAGGACTACTTACCGGGTAAAAATGGTGCTCACACTCGCAATTTTTCGACAGCTGATTGCTCTCAAAGGTCTTTGAAAAGTCTTTGAAAATAGGCAGAAAAAATCTCTGAAAGTCTTTGAATTTTTTTGTTCTTGGAGTTTACGAACCCTGCTTTAAATACAGCCAATTCAAAAAAGGTTGTCCTTTGCAAACTCTATACCTTAAACTCTAAGCGCGCAAAGCTTACAGTTGATTTCATATAACTTTTCCGTGAATGTTGCGAACTTCGTTCCGAACTTCGTTGTGAAGTTCAAAAGTTCATACTGAAATTCACAAGCCCGTATGTAAACAAAGCCTCTGATTGGTCCCTTAACAAAAATAAGCCAATTAGAGGCTTTGTTTACACACGGGCTTGTGAATTTCATTATGAACTTTTGAACTTCACAACGAAGTTCGGAACGAAGTTCGCAACATTCACGGAAAAGTTATATGAAATCAACTGTAATGGGAGCACAAGTTCCACTGGTATAGTTGAATATTGCAGCTATATATTTTTGAATGAATTGTTCCTGTAAGGAGATATTTAACATGTCTCCAAGAAGTGGGCCCCATATATGATTTCTAAACTTATTAAATGATGCTCTCATTATGCTTTGTACGCTTAGAGTGTATAAGGTTTGCAAATGACAACCCTTTTTGAATTGACTGCATGACTAAAGATAGGACAAAGCCACTAAATGGGCCCTAAATATACCAGGGCCTTTTTTAACATACATGCCCCCAGTTCCCCCTTGTGCCCCCCACGAAA